TGAGAAGATCAAAAAGCTCGAAAAGTGGTTAAAAAACAGTGGTTGGACACCGATGAGCTACCCAGGCACTTCTTGAAGGCGAAAACACACCAAAAAATACCATGGTTTGCGAGCAGGCCAATTCATCACTGTTGTGAGGAAATTGACGAAATGGACCGAGAATTGCGTCAGCAGCAGCTGGCGCTGGTCAACAGAAGAGGACCTATCCTGCTCCAGGACAATGCCCGCATTTCACAAATCACCGTCCGAAAATTAAACGAATTGAATGTCGAAGATCTGCCTCACCCACCATACTCTCCAGACCTCTCGCCAACCGACTACCATCTTTTAAGCACTTCGATAGCTTTCTTACCGGTAAAACCTTCGCCAATCAAGACCAGGCAAAAACGGCCTTCGTCGACCACATCGAATCCCGAGCACGCTATTACTCACTGTTACTATCTTCATTTGGGATTGAAGGCCGTCGTAGCCTTCAAACCAGAATGAAGATAAACACTGAAATTCTCGGCCACGAAAGCCTCAACCAATTTATTAATCGACTCAAATATCGATTCAAATGTCGCTTATTTCGATTGAAGTGAATGAGTTTTCCTCGAGATATTAAAGTTTATAGTAAACTCATGAAAACAGGCAAAACTGTTGTAGCAACTCAATAATTCATTGAGTCTTTAATCTACTTCGACACAGAAACCTTTTAATATCTACATTAGAACGATTCTGCACGTACCATCTTTGTAGCTAATACTAGTAGATAGAACATCTGGAAAGTCATTCTAGTACGAACTTTCCTTCTGTGCGACTGAATAAGTATTCATTACATCACCGTTCAGTTTACGAGTTGATTTGTTTACCGAAACTTTGTCTCCTATTCAATTATGAGCCTGTCTCTCGGAATGCACTTACTGTCTTCGACTGTCATTTACATTATTTATCCACTCCACTCGAAGTCCAATAAAGTTAGTGAGGTAAGGTGATAAAAGGATTTAATGGAAAAATGTTGATTGTTGAAGTGAAAAGTGTCAAGGAAGGAGGAATACGATGTAAAGGTGACCTAGTGAATAAATGCTTGTTTTTAAATAGTTTATCTTGTGAAAAAGAAGACTGAAAAGTTGCCCTTTTCTGAACTTTGAAGGGTCGTAACTATGTAAATAAGGGCCGCTTTTTTCTTTCGGATTCGTAATCTACGCATCAAAATCGCCGGGTGCCCTCAAAACGAATATTTACCCAATTTTTTTTTTCAAAAGGAAAGGGAGATCTTCCTTTCTATCGTTCGATAAGTATTTCAATACTCTATCCAACACTGGAAATCGTATGTTATTCATGAAAATAAATCAGTTTCAAATATCAATTCGAATTTGAATTTGATATTTACATTATTATGTACGATTTTAATCAGTCTTTATCGGGAGTCTGGAGAAAGAAACGTCATCCAAAGGGAGTTTATTCCCATTTGAAATTCATATATTTTTTGTTTTTTTTTTGAGCATATAGGCAAAATCAACAATAACAAGGATGAACCTATCTGAATTTTATCAAATCGTAGTAACACTTTTAGACTAACTTAATAATTTGACATTTCCATTTTTTTTGTAATTCAGGAAAGTTCAGTTTCATAAATGTGAAGATTGCCTTCTATACCTCCCCAAATAACATTCAGACAATATCATTGGGGGTTTCAATTAATGCAATAAAACCCACAACCGATTGATTTATTTCAATAGTATCGTATATGAAAAAGTTATGTCAATTTATAAAATCGAGTAAAAAATTTCTTTGAAAAAAGTAACGTGAAAATACTGTTCTCTTGATTCAGCCGGAATTTTGTTTGTAAGACGATATTTGGTAAATCACATATCTATAGGCAGATAAGAAATATTTTCCTGCTAGAAAAACTGGGAAAACCCAAGAACATTATATGAAATATTCATTTCACAATAAAAACTCATTGTTAAAAAATATTTCGATAGATAAGGTATTTCAACAACCAACTGGAATTTTTTTAAATTCTTAATTATGCTAAATCGCTACAGTAGAATTTTCGTTCTAATCTATAGTCAATATTAAAGTAATATTAATGTTTATAGTAACATGAATAATTTTTTTCTTGTTCGTGTTTTTCAGTCACGTTTTTCCTAGCTTCGGTTTTTTTTTGTTGGAGAACAAAGAGGTACTCCTAACCTCTATTTCAAGATGATAGAGAGATAGTGAGTGTGCAAAAATTTGTTTATTCTTTATCGTTATGATTTAGGAATCGCAAAATTCAATAAGAAGATTTATTATACGGAACAGGCATATATCGGAAGTTTGTAGAAAAACTTCCAACCTTTCAGCCATTTGTTGCCGTAGAGACAGAAAAATGACCCTACAATGTTTTTTTTCAATCCATTATCACGAACCATCCTTTAGACTTTGAGACTGAGTTTTTTTTCATACGACGGGTAGACAATAACCTTATTTCCTCTTCTTATTTTTCCAGAGCTATCTGGTCAGGGATACCTCATTTCATGATAATTCCTACATAAGATCAGTACACGTAAATTTATTTTTACGCTGGTAAATTTGTTCATAATATCCTTTAAGGAACGGTCAGAAATTATCGGAATTGTATTATGGTTGATTGACTGTATATATTGATGAGAAACCAACAACAGCAAACCTGTAACAGTTTTCCTCATCCACATCATGATGTACTGAGTTTTGATTTTCTCATCAAGATTTCTAACTAAATCACATTATGAAAAATTCCCAGAATCTGCCATTGAGATTTCAATATTACATATACTTTTGTGAAATTTAATTCTCTGAAAAAATTTATAAAGTATTTTTCATACATATTCAACGAAAGTAATTTTTTGTGGAGGAATATCAGTTTTTATTGACCTTTTTTGGGTATTTGTTACCGTCCATTATAATTTTTATATTTTTCAGATTGTGGAAGGTAACAAATACCCAAAAAAGGTCGATAAAAACATATTTTTCATACCTTGAACAATCACGACGTCGATTCTAAACACAAAAATTCTGAAAGAAAAACACGAAATATTCAGTGCTTTCGGCGTTGTTATTACATCAACGTACAAACAATAAGAATTAACGTGCCGCAATCCTTTTTTGTCTTATTTATTTTAAATGATGAAAAATTAAAACAATTCATTCGGAATAGTTGCGCAACGTTTAAATATTTCTCTTTTGTTCTGATAGTCGTATTCGGGTTAGTAGGTCGATCGATAATTTTGAACAATAATAATTATTATTTGTTGTATCAATGTGCGGTTTACTGTTAGCTCGTTTCCAATTTCTCACGTTTATTTCACGAATAATTATATTTAATGGAACGTATTCATTCCACTGCTTCCTATAGAAACCGAGCATGATTTATATGCATTCTAGTACGGTTCAACCTTGTTTATCGCTTTGCAAAAAGAACGCCGCTGGTCAAATGCACTTTGTTGCTTCTACTAATAACGTGTTCGTGTATTGGAGTGTAATGTTAACCAGATGCCACCGGTTTGATGGTGTTGTTTGATGTTCCATAAGCGAATGTTATGAGGATTCTTTTTTATTTCAAGAATGAACATGAGAGTTTTTGGGGCAGTTGCTCATAACTATCAAACTTATATTTCATGCACGTTTAAAGAAAACGCTTCCTATACCAGAACAAAAACACTTCCTTTGCTCCTTCAGATTCATTTTACATCAGAGGTTCAAATTGTCCATATTGAATTTAATGTACGGTCCCTCAGTAAATTTTAAGTATCAAATTTTGTGTAGAAACACTGGAATGTTGACAATGACATACGATGATTGTACTCTGAGTCAGGAAAATGTTTACAAGTGATACAGGCTTTTCACAGAAGGTCGAGAAGATGTGCATGATTGACGGCATTCTGGACTCCTCAGCACGTAAACAACGATGAAAATGTTGAGAAATTGAAGAAAATTGTAATGGAAAATCGTCGAATTACTACTAGAGAAGTTGCTTAGGAAGTCGGTATATCTGTTGGCTCATGCCACGCAATTTTTTTTTTGTAAATTTTAGGCATGAAGCGTGTGGCAGCGAAGTTCGGTCGAATATATCTGACCAAAAAACCGTCGCACGAGCGTCGCTCAGGAATTGTTGAATGACGTCAATAGCGATCCAGATTTGCTAGAAAGGGGCATAACTGGTTACTAATCATGAATATATGATTATGACATCGAAACCAGCGATATAAGCAAGCAGGATTGAATTCAATTGAAAAAAAGCGTTCCCAGGCTAATATAAAAACACATATCAGTTATATTTCAGCAATGCAAAACAAACCGAACTATGCAAGCCTATTAGACCGTTTTAAGGATTTTCCTGTAGTGCTTGTGTTCTGTCCTTAAAAAAAGACACATTTGCACTAGTACCTATATTACATTTTTCTCAATAAGGACACAATACAAGCTAAGTTGACCTCAGACTGCTAAAAATAGGAATCATTTCATATTATTTATATAATATAGTTGAATATAATTTGTAATATTGATATCGACCTGAATAAAATACCATAGGTTCTATATATATCTTAGTACAGCAGGTGAAATCTAGGAAATGACTTGAGAAATCTTTCTCTCTCTCTTTTTCTGTCTCACTCTCACTGCCCTCTAACTAATGCAGATTTAGTGGGCTAGGCCATAACGGAATTTAGAAAGCTCTTCCTACATTTGACAATTTGTACTGTGTAGCCACTGTTGAAATGATCCTTGGAAAAAGAAGTAAAACAAATATGTTCTTGGGTACCGTTCATGCGGTTTTACACTATTTTTATCAAAATAACTGTTATAATATAATAATTTCAATCTTATATTTCAAAAAACGCTATTAGTTTTTTTACAAGAATCATCGAGATTTTCCTTTGTTATAACCGAATGATATAATTTTCCAACACTTTTACGGAAATCGTGATAACTTTTTATCAATGTATCTTAAAAAATTTAAATTCGTTTTCTGTAATAATAAATTCTCATTGTTTCAGGCTTGGTCCTTGTGAGCTGCAAGACCCGGTTTGGGCAAAAATGAGTGCCTTGGCTGCCGGGTGCTCTAAGAAAAGAAAGAAATCTGAAAATAAGCCACAAGCTCAAATGTAAGTATTTATTTTTTATATAAATACATATCACACCAGTAAAAATATGAAAGTAAAGTTATAGTAAACCTAATATTTTTATGTGAATATGATAATGCATTCATAAATATATGAAGATGGCATACTCATAGTATTTTGAATGAAATAGGGTTGAAATATTTCTCTAAAACGGACACACATAAGACAACTCTTTTCTGGACAACATTTCATTTATATCTGTACAAGATATCAAAGCTACATAGAGCATAGAATGCATTGAATTGAGAAACATTCAAGAGGGAATTCAATGATCTGATCGAAAATACCTACAGTTGACCTTTATACTAATTCGGATAATACGGGGTACTAGGTTATCTTACTGTCATAGAATGGTTCTAGAAATTTGCCACTCAGAGATCCTTCTATATAGTTAAGGTCTGTCAGAACACGAAAATCTTCAATTTTTCTACTACACCTTCAATAAAATTGCATTTCTGGTCTTCTAGTCCGCTTCTCTCCAAGTTTCTCGGTGGATCGTCATATGTTGCATGCGTTGTATAATCTGCATATAGTATAACATTTTTCGTGCTCAAATCTTTTTAGTAAATAGTGAAAAGGAGAAAATTCAATGGCCCCAAAATAGATTCCTGAGGAACCCTCGATGCTGTCATACTGATATGATCCATAATGCCTAAAAAATTCAGTTACTGTATTCTCTAATTTCAATTTTGGATCAGTAATTTGTTAACTGAAGCAATGTATTTACGTAACAACAAGAAAATATCCAAATTAAGTACAAGTGGGCTAAAAAGTTCGTAGGCTAACATAAAAAAAATCATAAAATTGGATTTAATTATCCAACATAGTTGCCCTCGAGGGCGATATAACTATTAGAGAGGTCATAGCGGTTTAAACCATTTTTATAATATTACGATTTGTCTTTAGCTTCAAAATAAGCCTCAGTTTCGACGATTGCCTCTTTATAGGCCCTACATTTTTTTTTCCAAGGGCATTCTTTTGTGGTCCGAGAACAGGAAAAAGCCGCGGGGGTCAGATCTGGAGAATACGGTGGATGCGGAAACAATTCGAAGTCCAATCATGCAATTTTCCCGTTTTTTCGCGATGTCGTCCTTCAAACGCTCTAATAACGCTATGTAATAAGTCGCTATTGATGGTTTCCCGCTTTTCAAGATAGTCGATGAATATGGCATCCGAAAATACTGATACCATAACCTTGGCAGCCGACTGTTGCGCCTTTGCACGCTTTGGAATCGGTTCACCACGTGCAGTCCATTCAGATGACGATCGTTTTGATTCTGTTCAGAATTATCAATTCGTTGTTGTTTTTGGTCGATTGTGAGCACGCGCGGCACCCATTTCGAACAGAGCTTTCGCATACCCGAATATTCATGCACAATACGACCAACACGTTCATTTGATACCTTTAGAGCTTGAACTATCTTGATCAACTTCACTTTGCGGTCATCCTAAATTATTTAGTGGACTTTTCTTATGTTTCCGTTGTAAACAGCCTCATTGGGGCATCCACTGCGTGCTACGTCCTCGTTGCTCATTTCACCTCGTTTAAAGCAAACCGCTTTTCAACGGTTGATTTTCCTGGTGCAAAGTTCGAATAATGTTCACGAAGAAAAGCCTCTTCAACAGTTTGTTTTTTCGCCAAAAAGCAATGCTTTAATTAATACACGAAATTGTTCTATCCCACAAAATAATAGTCCGACAGCTGTGAAATTTTTTACACTTGTCTTTTGAAGGTTAGGGTTAACTGAAAATCATATGAATTCGATACTAGTAGCGTCATCTGTTAGTTAGCCTACGAACTTCAGCCCATCTCGTAAGATCTGAATTCGAAAGTAATCAGATATCAACTTTCAATAAATTTATTTTCGTACGTTTGTTGTTAATGTGTTTCAGTGTTATGAATTTAAAAATTTTCATTGTGATAAATACAAGTACTGTATTTAATATTTGTGTTGACCAGTACGATGAAAATATAGCAATTTTTTTTCAGTTATTTGTGTGTCTATTGTAATCTAATTATAATTATTATTAGTTTTCCTACCTGACTAGGTATTTATCATATCGATAGATATCTGAAGATGGTCGTTGTTTCTTCTTTTTATTTGTGAACGATTTTGTCAATGAGAACAACAATAACAATAAAGTATATTTGATTTGATTTGAATCTAATTTAGCGAGGTGTTTATGATGATCTCAGCGTTGTATTCAAAAAAGTTGATGAAATGATTCGGTTGTTCAACTCTACTTTGCTGGAGGAATATTTTCCGTCGTGTTTACACAACAGAAAAAAACTTCGCCCTTTATTTCCATATATGAACCTTGGTTTCTAATATTTATTTTATTCTTTTGAATGTGGAAATAATAAAGACGATTATTATTATTTCCTTCAGGGTTTTTGCTTAACCCATTAATTTTCATTATTTCGCCCAAGTTTTTGTTTCATTTCTCAAACAAAATATCAAGCAATATATCTCAAGAATTGTTACTGGAATATTACTCGATTGAAATTACTAGTTTTACCGTTACATACATAATCTAAATAAAAAAGATAGTTGTGTACGTTGGCAAAATTGAAACACAATACCTTTTTGACATATAATCGACCTTTTGTTTCTCTCCTCTCGTGCTTTTCTGCCTAGGAGTGCTCTCGTAGCTTTTCTAGGAAGGCATTATATCTCGGCAAAAAATCCGAGTCAGCAACTAGAATCTAATAAAGATGTCACAAAGTGAAAGACGTCAGCAGAAAACCGCTGAGTACAGGCAAGATGCCACTCGGCTTGCAATATATGACTATCTTTGTGAATTTTTCTTTCGTTATGTAACCAGTTCCGAAAATAGTTATTTATCTAGCGGATGGACGCGAATGGAGTGGAAATATTTGTTTATTAATCATAAATATTTGAAAATATCATGGGAGAGGTCATTATTGTGTTTTTTATCATTGTGACTGAATGTGACTGGGTATACTTCCATAACGAAAAAGAGTGTTTTGCAATATTCTTTTTCTTTTTAGAAAAGGATGTAATTTCTCCTCATACTTTGGACTACAAAGTGAACAGGAAAAAGTGATTTTAGTATAATTCAATATTCATATTAAAGTACTTGTTTAGTTTTTTTTTCGTGTAATTCAATATTTTTATGAAAGTAGTTGTTTCGAGAGATATTTTTCTTCCAGTTTGTATCTGAAAGTATATAACCTCTATGCACGATGTATACATATCTTAATTGAATAGAACTGGCCGATACTTGATGAAAATCTATATTAAAACTCATTGAATACAGTTTATTTTCACGTGTTTCGGGGGACAATAGCTTTTTCAAGCGCTTGAGAAAGCTATTGTATAGCGAAACACGTGTCGCGGTTTTTGTAAAACCCTTCTTAGTGAAAATCATACAATAAACTGTATTAATGACTTTTTATAAATATCTTCATAGAGTCATTTTGCAATGAATTGCTTTCCTGCTACCTTCAGAAGTTTTCACATTTTTTTGTACAATGATGGAGAAGTAGAGAATCAAAATTTTTCTTTTCCAAAAATGTTATTTCTATTACAGTGTCATGGTGTCATAGAAGGCATGAATATAATCCTTTTTTCAATCAACCATTGTTCACAAAACTGTTTTAAATGTTCCTTCCTTTATCCAGAAGATTTAAATTATATATCATTGAAGAAGTAGAAAACCTAAAAAAGTAATATTTTTTAGGGATATATATAGAAAGTAGGGAACTTGTGAAAAAATGAAGAAGATTAAATACATCAATTGAAGCTCGCTTCAATTGAAAAAATTGAAGCGCCCAGAAAAAAACGCAAAAACGTTTTATCTGGTCTGAAAAAATCATCAGAAACAACTACTTTCAATTATGAACATTCAAATACACGAAAATCACTTTTTCTCATTCATTTAGTACTCAAAACATTCGTAATCGAATTAAACCAAATAGCATTCATAGGACCGCGACACAACGTAATTCTAGTATAGGAAGAAGTATCGTTATAAAATTTCACTTATGAGAAAAAATGTCAATCTCCAGACCGACTTCTAGAATTTTCGAGTGAAAACTCTATTATTCAATTATTCCACTGTACTTTTTTGAATAACTACAAACATTTCACCACTTTATGTTAATTGGAGAGAAAAATGGCAATTTGTATGAATATTTTGTTGAATACACTGACCCGTCACTTGGTAAAAATCAATCCAACTGAGGATGCTACTATGTAGTGAAACAAGTATTGGAAATAAAACCTATTTTATGAAAATGTATTATTATTATCACGAACATTTCTCTTTCTGAAACGTTTCTTTCAGACTATAAAAAATATTTCAACAGTCGCTAAACAACAAATAAAACTTTAAACTCTCACGGCAGACTTGTTTATTTTCTATGTTCGCAGTGAAAGATTTTATGATTTGTAAGCATCTTAAACAGTTCGTTAATTTTCTTGGTGAATTTTAATTTCTTTTCAAATTTCCAGTTGCGCATTTAAGGCGAGCTGCTGAATTTTCCGCCAAATATCTCGAAATTGTTTCTTATTTTAAGTAGCAAATAATATTGTTTTTTATAGGTGCTTGTCCATACTCCATAATAAATGATGAACATATTGAACAACACTTCGTGAGATCTTCACATAAACCGTTTACAAAACGAACACACACACACACACACGTTTCCTTCATACAGTAATTTTATGAGGCATAACTTACGCTAAACTAAAATAATTCAAAAATTTATTTTCACTAATTGTTTAATAATAACGCAATTGATCATTAGTTCATAAGATAATAAATTCTAATAAAAACCTTGAGTGACATTTCAACCTGGGTTTCTACATTTCTGAACCTAGGTATTCTAAACCATTGATTTTTCACGTTTCTCCCCAAAATATATTCTTTCTTAGTCACAATTGAAATTATTCTACTTTGGTTATAACTTTTGAATTGTTCCTATCAATAAACCGCTGCTGCGTTCTCTTCTTCTTTCGTAAAAAGTTTTTCCCGTTTGAACAATATAGAAGTTAGAACAAGAACCAAAAGCTAACTTATACATACTACATATCCTCGATCTATCCGACACTGATTGTAGTTTTTAATGTGTAGTTTTACATTCTTATTCGTTCTATAAGTTTTACTTCTTCGATCAACTTGTGATATACAGGGTGTAACTGAATAAGTGTGAAACATTTAAGTTCCTCATCGAAAAAAAGATAGGATCTTTCATATAAAGAAACTTAATTGGAGCATCCCGTGTTAAGATACAGCCCCTTAAAAAGGTTACATAAAAGTAATTTATTTGATTTACCCTATGGTTGTAAGGGGTGGAAAACGTAACCCCTAAAATTTATTTCCAATGTAACTTTTTGTCTTATTATTTGTTTACCATTTAAACATTTATTTCCGATAACCTGTTTCATTACTAAACAAAAATGTCTCTTGGATTTTTTGCCCAAAATAAACCAGTTCGCAGCCAAAAATTATTTTAAGAACAACTACAGAGATACATCGTCATAAATGCGAACTGGATTTATTGTTATTTTGTAGTTAGTACCTGCATTAACCGATTAAAGGGTAATGAACAAAACTAATCCATCAATAACATAACACACAACATGTAGAAGTCATAGTAAATGTTCAATATGTCTACCTTCAAACATTACGCATGCGTCTAGACGTCGGCGCATTGAGCCACGTATTCGCTCAAATATTCCTGGAGTCTCTCTAATTACCCTGCACGCATCAATGATGCGGTTTCTTGAGTCCAAACCAAACCAAATGCTGTTAATTGCCCCAAATAGAGAAATCGAGAAGATTGAGATCCGGGGATCGAGCGGGCCAGTTCTGTGATACTCCTCGACTGATTTGCATATGTTTCAGTTAAATGCTGACATGCTACTTGACAAAAATCGGCGAGAGCCCCATCATGCATAAAAAACATATCCCTTCTGACGCCCAAAGGAACTTCCTCCAGCAGTACTGAATGCACTTGTCTTAAAAATTGAACGTATGCCTCACCATTTAATCGAGGAGATAGAAAATGAGAAAATGAGCCAATTGAATCATCCCCAATAACTCCGAGCCACACGTTAAGAAAAAACTGTTCAAGTACTGCTTCCTCAAGCTGTGGTGTTCGTACTTCTCGATGGCGACCACAATCCTGCGTCCATTTGTCGAATGAACCATATTCTCATAATCGTTGATGAAGTCGAGAAAATATTCTATGTGGAGGATGCTGCCGTTGAGGATACATTTCAGCATATCTTCTAGAAGCTTCTAACCCATTTCCCTGCGACAGACCGTAAATGTAATACATATGAGCCATTTCCTCATTTGTGTATGCCATTTCAATATCAAGTGAATTATTAAAGTAGCAAATTAAGAACAGAACAACACACAATTAGTATTAAGTCAATTTCGAAAATTCACAAACTGACAGCGTCATAACAATTTAATTGTCACCATCGCTAATAGCGACCTACTAGATCTCTAGATCTCTGTAGTTGTTCGTAAAATAATGTTTTGCTGCGAACTGGTTTATTTTGGGCAAAAAAGCCAAGGGGCATTTTTTGTTCAGAATGAAACAGGCTATCGGAAATAAATTTTTAAATGGCAAACAAATAATACGACAAAAAGTTACATGTGCGGGTATGCGTTTTCCACCCCTTACAACCATAGGGTAAATCAAATAAATTTTTGGTATTACAAAACGTCAGGTTAATTTTAATATTGTAACTTTTTTAGTGCTTGTGAAAAAAATTGTTATACAAATTTTNTGAGGTAGTCGAATAGTTGGCTGTTTCTTAACAAGGGATGCTCCAATGAAATTTCTTTATATAAAAGATCCTATTTTTTTTTCGATGAGGAATCACCTCCTCAAATGTTTTACACACTTACACACTTAGTTACACCCTGTATTTGATAAAAAGTAATTCAATCTCCAAAGATGAATGAAATAGCTTCCTGTTTTTATAGGTTACTGTAGGGACATTCACCCTGGGGGGGTATAGACAAAAACTATGAAATGTAAGTTTCAACTAGATTTTTTTGTAATATGAAAATTGTTGAAAAAAGATGGATTGTCATCTAGGCCTTGTTTTGAGACGTATAACATTTCGTATGACGCACAGACCTCTTGAATCCACCAATAAGAGTATTTGTTAGAAATACGCTGTACTGGCATATCCTACCAACTCGATACACTCTGAACTCTCTTTTGTTTTAAGAAACATTCTACTTGGATAACGACCATTTTCCTAGTGCTTGTGCATCTTTATAAAAAAAAAACAATTGAAAAATGGTACAATCTCTACAGAAGTCAGAAAAAATGCAGTTTAATGGTCATATTTCAAATCAGTCCTGCGTGTGTTACATTGTCAAGATGTGCGTAGAAGGTTCATCGACTTTTCCTGTTTGTAATTTGATAGAACACGTTAGTTTACATGAAACCAGCACATATAATCCTAATATTAAGTATCTGACGTCTTCGTCGGTTAACTGTAATGCTAGTAATTCTCGCAAAAATTAGTCAAACATGCAGTTGTTTTTTCAACGCCTCCATGTTTTTTTATTTATGATGTTGTGTAACCGTGAATTTAATCAAATATTATAACACACGTGAGCTGTGTAATACGATAGTTGACTGTTTAATCGTCGTTTCTCAGCTACTGTGTATATGGAAACGTGCTGATGTTGCTGTTTTTGCTGTATGCAGTCGACTATGATGCACGCAAAAAAACAGTAGTGTACGAACACTAGTCGTACTCACAGCTCGTGCGAATATTTCCTATTCGCGATAAAACGCGTTAAAGTTTGTTCTAGAATTTTCCAATATGACCGAAAGTATTTGTTCCAGCAACAAATGCAACAACGAGAAACGCCGCCGGGAGCAAGAAAACGTCTACATCGAGGAATTGGCAGAACTGATCTCGGCAAATTTCGCGGACATGAGCTCCTTGTCCGTGAAGCCTGACAAGTGCGCGATTCTCCAAGAGGCGGTCAACCAGATCAGAAGCATCAAGCAGCAGGAAAGTGCCTCCCAAGCGGCGGATCCCGTGCAGCAGGGGGAGGTCAGCTCTTCTAGACCGACGATCCTATCGAACGAGGTGTACGGCCCTTTGCTGTTGGAGGCGCTCGAGGGATTTCTGTTCGTCGTCAACAGCGAAGGAAAGGTGCGTATTTTATACAGACTGACTTCGTATCTGAGAAGTACAATCGAATAGCAGATGCTTTGCCGTGAGTAAGCGAGACAAAAGGAGCAGATATACATTCCGCGGAGAAATTCAAGTCAAGATATGTATATCCTAAATCAAATGTTGAGAATTCCGTTATGAAACTAAAAGTTTGATTTTAAGGTACATTCCCGATACAAAGTGGCATTCATTCCACAAAATTTTTATATCGAGAATTTAGTGCATTATGCATTTAAGTAATTAAAAAATAAACTGATGTTACAAATCATAAATGCATTAAGAAAGTCGCCCTATTAAAAAAACTGAAAATTTACTTGGCGGTTAGTTACAGCTTTTTTATAAACACTACCATCGGATTCACTGTTTCGATTCTCAGGTCCAGAAGAAGCATATTGGCAACGACTGTGCCATTTTTTTGGTGAAACATTTCGTTTACTTTATTTTATTTTTCCATACAGATTTAGATCATAATTACGTGAAAATTCGTTTTCTTAACTATACAGAGTGTTCCATCTCAGACCCCGTATATTTCTTATCCCATAGTGAATGGAAAAATTTCCCTTAACACGTCGAATGATTTTGTTTGGGGGACATCTTTTGACGTATATTTTAGGCTTGAACGAGTAACTCCCTAATAGGGGACTCTTCAACCCCTCAAACTTGAATAGGGGAGAGGGGTTGAGTGATACTTTATTTGAAAAGTATTGGAAGTCTCTTTCCAACGGTGTATGAAAAACGTAAATTTGATGAACCGTTTTCGCCAAAAATCTATTTTGCAGCTTGAATGAGCCGCCTTGAATAATTTGGTTATTTTACAATGTACAACAAGCTCATTTTTATTAAGCCGTTTTTACAAACTCAAACAATCGTCAAAAAATTACATTCTTGAAAAATGTAATTGTGTTATCATCATGCTTACAATCAAAAACATTAAATCTGCTTGTTTAAATGCACTTTTTTACTTAATGGAGAGGTTAACCGGCATAACTGTAGAATTTGGAGCGATACAAATCCTCATGTATTTCGAAAAGCTCACGCTCAACATCCAGAAAAGCTAAAACGTTTGGGTAGGAATTTTGGGAGACCACCTAATTGGACCTTTGTTTATTCCTGGTAATTTAACTGGCGAACGTTATCTTGAAATGCTGGAAAATGCGATTGATTCGTTAGTAACTGAACAATTAGAAAACGATCCTCTACTACTTGAACAACAATTGCATTTTCAACAAGACGGAGCACCTCCGCACCACGCCTCACCAGTTCGCCAATACCTCAATTTGCAATACCCCGGTCGTTGGATTGGAAGAAGAGGTCCTAAGGAGTGGCCTGCCCGACCTCCTGACCTGAACCCTCTGGACTTCTTCTTGTTGGGACATCTCAAGTCGAAGATTTTCGTGACTCGCTCTGAAAATTTGGACGAACTACGGCAAAGAATTGTGAATGAGTTTCGTCAAATAACTTCAATTATGCTGAACCATGTCAGAAACGGTTTTCAGTCAAGATTGTAATATTTTATGGAAGTCAATGTAGTACAATTTGAACATTTGATTTGCTCTTTGAAGCCTAAAATATACGTCAAAAGATGTCCCCCAAACAAAATCATTCGACGTGTTTTGGGAAATTTTTCCACTCACTATGGGATAAGAAATATACGGGGTGGCTCGTCTGAGATGGAACACCCTGTATATGTGAGCTTGCATACCATTTGTACGCCGAAAGATTAGTTTTCATTTTAGGTTGTTTCAGAAGGTTAGAGTATTTCAAATTTGTGCCAAGAGAAACGTGTTTGAAGGTTTTCAAATCATATAAAATGGCTGAAAGTAAACTTTGTGTTTACTTTTTTGCAAAAAAAATGAATATGGATGTCACAGCATCGAGTATTTTTGTCCAGAAGTCACATTGTGGGACGTGTGAACTTTATTCTGAATGTCTCATATTTAAATCGTGAAAATCTTCAATTCACTAGAAGAATTAATATAACAGCGAAAAAAATAAACACTCTTTGATGAATGCTAAGAAATACAATGTATTTGCCATTAGTTCACAAAGTCGACACTAAGGGGAGTATCGCTTATTTTGAATTCGTTATTGAAGCCATGACAAAGAGCTTTGTGATCATCCTTTCATAATTTACGTTCAAACTCTAATTAGGTAATCATCATTATGTATGTAGAGGGACGTCTTGCTAGTATTAATATTCAAAGCATTTGATTTTGAATGGACATTTCTGAACGTCCACTGAAAAATTCTAATGTAGAATGAATAGAGGACACGAATGCATTGTTACTACGTTGTTTTATCGTTTTTCCAGGCGATAGGTGATGAAAAATGTATTTTTAGAAATTTATATTCGATTCATAATCGTTTTTCGAAAACTTTGTTTCATTCATGAATTTATATTGCGTTTTCCAATATATAATCATTTTTATTAAACTGCTAACAGAGAGAATTCATACGTTTCCAATGAGTTATGTCACACTTATTCCTCGAACTGAAATAAAGTGTTGCTGATCTTTTTAACAAAACATTGTTTGCTCACAAACCTTTTCCTCAATACGAGGTCCAATAATATGTTTTAAATGCCATTGCTCGGCGACACACTAATAGTCTAATCAACAAGTTCAAAAACATGAAAAATAGAGATGAAGGTCCTAAAAATATTCGATTCGGAATCACCTCTAGAAAAATGTTTTTGGATGATTTTGGTGCAGGTAAAAAATTGCAATTGTTATATCAAATATTTTTTCATTATCACATAAACATTGCTGGAGTATTTTTGACGAGCTACCCTGTATAAATACATATCCGTTTACGAATATGCTATTCATTTGGCCCTTCCCAGATCTGATTATATTTCCTAATACTACTTATCAAGTTAGTATAGTGAGTTAGATTACCGAGTCGTGATTTTCTTTCAATTGTTTCGCATAATACATGTTTGTCTTGTGTTGCAAAACTTTTTATCAGTAAATATTACTGATTCTTGGTAAATAACCAGCAATAAAAATCAAGATTCCGTTTGCTGGTGAAATATGTACGGGAAGTGGAAATTTTAAAAAAACTTTTTTCAACGCATGTTTCATCAGTATGTTATTTCAACTCTATTAAAATTATTGAGAAATACCAAAAAAAAAAAATGTTTTCAGCATAGCTTTGGTGGATTTGATTAACAACTTCTCAGTCGAGTCAAGCTAAGAGGACAGAACTACATCAGTTGTATTGTGTTGTACGTTATTGAAAATGTAGCTGGGCAATGTAAATGAAAAAGTAAATGGTGATTTTCCTAAGTGAATTTCAGTGTAATGTTGATATTGTTGGTTCTATTTACTCATTCCTGAAAGTTATGCAATGAGGATACCAAATTGTTGTCCAGTTTTTGTTCAGTCAATGAATGTTAAATTACTTTGATTTGGAGTTTAGGTGGGTCGCCAAAGGAACTATTTTCAATAAATTGATGAATGTAGCCGTTACTACTTGGTAGGAAATTATCATGAAAAATGAGAATGGAAACTTTCTATGTTTTTACCACTTTTATTTGTAACTAACGTTACTGCAGTTTCGTCCTATAAGGACATTTTCAAACTTATACTTATACTTTAATGTATAATGTATTTATAGGACGAAACTGCAGTAACGGTTACAAATAAAAGTGATCAAAAATATAGAAAGTTTCAACTCTCATTTTTCATGATTATTTTCACATTTTTCGCAAATGACTTGAAAACTACATCATCCAGCGAAAAAATGCCATATACTAAATAAATCTAAATAAAATTCTACACAAAGTATTCACAAATATGAAAAAAATAAAAATAAATTCAGTGTAATAAACCAACAATCAATGGTTAGATTATTGTAGTAGGTCGGATTTTATTTACATCGCTGTCGTCGATGATAGAGGCATCATTAGTGCAGCTTCCGAGGCAGACACTACAGACTACCGAGCAAGCAGTGTCTGCCTTCCAGGTGCCGCACCGTATGCCACAGTGGGTTCAAAGGCAGAATATTTTGTTGAAAATGTTGTCTAATGCCACAGGGCACAGGATCGTCAATGGTAACGGGGAATAATACTTTATCTTCTCCCACGGTAAAAATTTATTGTGTGGGTAGTAGGAGGTTGCTCGTCCACTCTTATGAAAATGTTTGAAATCGCCATCATTCCAGAATGTTGAGTAAGCGGCATTTTATTGTGTATTCAGTGCTAAGCACTGAATTATCTATAAGTATCTGTTAAGCGGCTGGTAGAAAAAAGTGGTCAAGTCGGACTTCGGCTTCACCACATGAAAGAACTGTACAATCTCCTCCGATGACTGCAAACAGAGAACCATTTGATGGCGACTTTCAGTCGGTCTGACTTCGTGAAGAAGATGTTTTGGCAGGCTGTTGGTGCCACTCTAAAATACTATCAAGTCCACATCCTCCGCAATGGCTACAGAAGTGCTTTCTCCAAGACACACACTACTATGAACATCTCCACAAGTAGCAAGGATTTTTTCCCTTCATCAATTTTTTTTAGCAAGGGTGTCGATAAATCTTCTCTTAAATTGTGAGCATCGTGTTCACATGAATATTGAATTCCATGAAAATTTTGATGAACTGTATTCTCTTCTGCTAAGCTCGTTTCGTAACTATCGAAAGTCATCGCACATTGTCATCTTAGGGGACTTTCGGATGCTATCCCCCTCAGTATGTTACTCAGGACAGGTCATCCTACATCTTTACCAATTTCTCGCTTCCACACTATAAATTCAGGTGATTTGACCCTTTTTTTTTGTCTTCGTTGAATAGACTATTCGCCTAAACTCGAAATAATCATGTCTGGATACTCAATTCCTCTTTTTGAGTCGATTGACTTGATCACCTATCAATTTACTTGATCAACTTCTTCCTTGTAATTCTTCTATAAATACATTCCCAGGAATTTATTTATTTGCCAGTGCAAAATTTTCAGAAAAATGAATTGCTCCATTGTATGCATGACAAGTTTTATAATTCGGATTACAATTTGTAGCAATAATGACGTTAAAATTATAAAGAATAATGCAAATAATCCAGAAGTCGTTCTCCAGATATACATTCAAATTGATTGATATCGAAAATAGTAGGGCGTGAAATTACTGGAACTGTAAAATAATTCTGTGGCAAATGAATGAATTAACAGTCTTAACAAATTTATTTCCAACAATATTTCACTAATCACCAACTTATTTATTTACAACACTTAGCAACTAACGCCTAATTTTCTTCCACTATTTGAATTTCTTATTTAGCCGCTCGGTTCACTTCCTGAACTGCCCTCTCAGGTCGGGAAGCCGAGCTTATATCGGTAACGGTCTTTTCTAGAAATCTGTAGTCGGTTCGGTTCTACACTTTTACCGGCGATTCCAGCCTGTCTAAAAGCTGGAAAAATCTAAAAAATCGTTTGCGGTTTCTTTTTTTTATGTAATTTTTATTTATTCATGTCTAAAATCAATTCCTCTGTCTCTCTATCTCTCTGATGAAGGAAAATAAATTAAAATGACTTCGTATCTATTGATTTGCTTGACTGCGAAAAAAAACAAAATATCTATTGAACATCTGTCAATAAACAAATGTCAATAAATGGGTAGATGGCGTTGACTTTAGTGAAGACACTTTTGAACTGGGATTTTTTTGTTTGTTTTCAACAGTATAAACATAGTGTTACGATGTAATGTCTTCATTCATTTTCATTACGTCCATTCTACATGTATTTTAATAATTTGACGCAACTTAACTCTGGAAATTATAAAACAAATAAGGTGTTGCATTTAAAGAGACCGTTTGTGACCGATCATCACTCGGAGGCAGGTCACCCTACATATCGAAAATTATTTACAAAAATAGTACAGTCAAGTAAAAAATCAATCTGTTTCGAGGATTTAAAAAAATATTGTTCATTCAGGTAATCTAATGAAAACACCATTGCTGCAAACAAAAATTAGAACACTGTCTCTAACAAACTTATCATTATCAGGAGACGATTAAAACTGTATCTATCAAGTATTTACTTAGCTAATAATAAATTTATGCGTTACTTTCCATTAAGCTTTCATGCACCAAAGTGAATTGGTCTATTCGACCCTTCACTGCAACCTGAGAAAGTTTATTGTGGCTCACTCCTATTCAAACATCTTGTTCTTCAACGAAGCCTATTAGTTTATTTGCTGATTGATCATTCAGGTCAGATGACAAAAGTAATTCGGTCCACGGCGGGACAGCCACAGACTATGTGCTCTGTTTCCAGGAGAAGAATAGTCTACTGCAACATTGACAGACCAAGGTACATTTTTCTCAACCTAGTGAGTACCTGATTGGCGTTCAGTCTGCGATACCACTTACAGGTACATGAGCATCACAAATGTGTAAACTAGGAAGTAGGTTATCAACCAACTCTCTCCAGGTGCTCTTCGCAGCTTTGGAATCGTACTTTTGGACCATGTTCTGGAATATCTTCTATGGTAGTCAAAATAGCATATACATTCCAGTTGATGTGTCAATTTTGAAGTTGCCTGGTGTTCAAGGTGATATTCTTGATGACCGCAACAACCTTCCCATATGAGTCCATCAGGGAGCCAGCTATACCCGTCGATACATTAAATTCAGCAGTGTTCGCTTCTAGTTTAGAGGTATTATCGTTTCAGCGTCAGCGTTTGCTGAAATGATCAGGAGAAGTTTCGTTTCCTCTGCTGATGCAGATTCTGTTTCTCAAGACTTTGGTGCACGGCAGTTTCATAAGATATCCTAAGAGGTGATAAGTCGTTTCCTGGCTTTTTTCTTAGCTTTGTAAACAGGATCAGGAGTTTGACAACTGAGAAGCCCTTGCTTTTGATCTTATTACAACAAGGATAGTTAGGGTCGTTTAGTCACGTTCATCTACCTCGTAGGCTCAGGGTTGAATTTTTTGGTTACTTTGGGGTTCAAAGGGTCCCACGAGTAGGATGTATGAATTGTAATAATGATAATACTAATAATACGCAACTCTATCTATCACATATATAAGGTGTTACTTTTTTATATTACAGATCGAGCACGTTACCGAAAACGTGTCCAACTACATCAAGTTTTCTAGGGAAGATGTCCTTGGAGAGAGCATATATAACTTCATTCACCTCGGCGACCACGCAAAATTCCACTCCAACCTGCTGCCTATGACGATAGACTGGGGTAACGAGCAGTCGATATCTAACAAATCGAAATCGATCGACATCAGGCTCCTGGTAAAACCTCCGGACGACCTGGACGAAACAGTCGAAGAGAAACAGCAACGGGTCAGCCGCTACGAGCTGATGCATATATCCAGCACTCAGCTGAGGGACCATCTGTCTGTTTCCGAAGAGGACGGTAGTGATAGTGGCCCGTGTTTGCTGTGCGTTGCCTCTAGGATATCGCACCGGGACAAGGCCACGTGCAGCATCGAACAATTCACCACCAAGCTAGACACGTCGGGTAAGATCATTTGCGTGGACACCTCCGGGGTGTCGGACTCGATAGCTCAGTACATTAAAAAAGAACTGAAAAACAGAGGATTGCGCGAGGTGGTGCCGCCATCGGAAGTGCAGAAAGTGAATGTGCATTTGAGAGAGACTCTCAGCACGGGACAGTCGACCAGCCATATTTTTAAGCTGCAAGTCGGACCGGAGAGATTCGTCCAGATACAGACGAAATCGAAATTGTTCAGGACGAACCCTCATGCGGCGAACGAATCGGACTTTATAATGTCGACGCACTCTATTATCGGGTAAGTTTTTGAAAGTTTTGTGAAAGAAATTGTGTTTTTGTGAATAAAACGAAGTATTATCATTTCTGGGCTTTATTGACTGGAGTTCGTTTGGATATTGATATTTTCATTGTTTGTACTGCTGAAGATCAGAACCGCCAACTATTGGTGAAACATGGAGAATCATTTACTCGTGATAGATGTATGCGGGACGACTACGGTAAAGGCGACATCTGGGTTTGATAATTCGAACGACGAACTCAAGGAAAACATGGTGACGAACATTCAAATACTAATAATATTAGTGATGATTTATCAACTTTATTCGTCAACAAGTGAATGGAATGACGAAGCATCAGTTTTTACCAGTTTTTCAGCTTAGCCAATAAAAAAAGTTTCAAAATATTTTGTACCAGAAGTAATAATAACCAATTTAATGATTGACAGTATAACATAATTTCAATATGTGATGGAATCGGCTGATGCTTTATAAAAATCCATAATTTATCCAAGCGACACCTTATCGTGAGATTTCTACTGGGCAGTTTTCATGAAAACGCTTGAGGAAGCTGTTGTATAAGATAACAAGTGAGGCGGTTTTAGAAACTGTCCAGTGAAATGCCACAATAAAGTGTCACTTCAATACATAATTACAAGGTAATGAATTTCATAATTATGTCCGTAGATAAATAGATACACGCATAAATGAACAAAAAGTGTTATGAAAAAAACAAATCACTATAGGTACGAGAGGCCGAATCTAAAAAAGAACAGTCTTGCAACATCTTCTTCTTCTTTTCGATTCAATGGCCTTACGGGCGAAGACTGCTTGCTTTCGAAATATTTCAAATTATCCATCAAATGAGACGGTGAAAATTACTGGAGTTTTATCTCAACACCAAACCATTATTTTAACACCTCGACACGTGTTTCGATCACCAAGTGATCATCTTCAAGAGAAAGATGATTATTTCTTGATCGAAACACGTGTCGAGGTGTTAAAATAACGGTTTGGTGTTGGGATAAAACTCCAGTAATATTGATTACTACACCAAAAGTTCCAAACAGTGCATCACAAGTAAATAAAACGGTGTTGCTGTGTTCAAACTTCCGTATGTGAGGGATCAAATAAAGATTCGTCCTGTACGTAAACAAGTTTAAAAAATTTTTACTTCGATATGAGTTTTCTTGATATTGGTATAGATGCCTCAACAAACTTAGGAGTCCACGGTGGCTAGTAAAGGTGATCATAGGCAGTTTTGATTAACTTAATTATCTGTACATTCAAAACACATTCTCATAAAACGTTTTCGGTTCTGCAAACGCTTGTAACACATGAGCCACACATATCGATACCACTTTTGTAGAACGATTTATCTTTTGCCTCAAAATAGACCTTAGTTTCAGCAATAACCTTCTCGTTCGAGCGAAGTTTCGTACCGATGAGAATTTTTTTGGGGTCTGCCAGTAGTCGCTGGGAGCCAAATCTGGCGAATACCGTGGTCGTAGGAGCAATTCGAAATTCATCCTACGTCACGTCTTGTAATAACGTGGAGTCAAGAGTAGACCAATTCAGACTAAAATTTCAAGAAGCTACATAGAATCACTAAATATTGAAATTTTCTAATATAAAACACGTTCATGGATCACAACGACATCAAAATACCCAAACTCGTGAAAACTAGTTTAGGGAACAAGAATGTTGGACGTTGGAGGAGGTGATATGAAAAGTTGGGGAAAAGTACGCAATAAACCCTTAAAGCTGTACTATTTTGCAGAGACTTGGAAGAAATGGACGGAGTCAAACGCCTCCCAAGTAAAAAATATATGCATTCCAAACTTGTTATCAGAAAAACGATTTCGGTTCTCATTTTGTACGGAACCGAGTATGGAACACGACTATCTTTCCAATACATGCGGTGATATGGATGGGTATCTACAAACTCCACTCGTCTCCACAGGCAGATAAAATGGTTTTGTGAGCGATTCGTCAGCAGCACTATCACATCCGAAGTGACGAACGCCTTGTGATAAAACTGCCCTCTACGGATGTTATCTTTCTTTATTTAGTCCATTATAAGCTTATCTCTCGAGTTCGTTCAAATACTATATCTGAGGAATCGACATTTCCAAATGTACCGAAACAGTATAGATGTTTTAGTCGGTAGAGTCGGGTTATTTATATTGTATCATTGTTTTCGAAATAGTCTTATTTCTAGTCTAGGTGATTGGTACCAGGACATTTTTGTGCTTAAATCTAACGCCCCTTCATTGGATGTCTCTCACTGCTACACATTTCATCGGCAGTTCGGTACTTACTGAAGGTACAGTCTTTTCAAAGTGTAAATAGAGAATGTGGAAGGGATATAATGAGTGGGGGAGGTTGTTTGTGCCAGTGACATGTAAATGGAGTTCGCAAAATTATTTATCTGAGCTAATAAACCTAAGTTACATGTCACAATGATATAAATCTTTTGCCATTATGATATATTTCTGTATGAATTGAAAGAGCAGTCAGTATGAACTTGAACAATAATATTAATCGTATTTATTGATGAAATATAAATAGGTGAAGTTGATAAGGGAATTGGAACCCCTGGTCTAAAATGAACCGTCCATATCTCCAACCAAGTTAGCATCATCAGGAGATACTAGATGAAATTAAGCTCAAAGCTATTCTTACTACTTAACCTAGTTTACAAATCAAAAACTTCAGTTGTTTGGCTTAATGCGCCTGAATGGAAGCAAAAGCCAACAACATAGAGAGAGAAAGAAAAACTTCAGTTGTTTTATATCAGTGACAGTTGACAACGAGAACTTCAATATTACTATGAATAATGATTATTACATTTATGCACATTATTATTCACTTACATAACGAATTATTTAAGAACAATTCGTTCAGGCCAATCTCCCTACACATTAGTTTAATGGACACATATCAGAAAACAACTACTCCCCTGGCTAATACCACGAAGGGTGTTGGATTATATCCGACAGGTGTCAGTGCAGGATTCTTGCATATGCTGTTGGCGATACAACTCCCGCAATAGATTTTCAATTATTGGAACACGCTTGCAGACCGGTTTCGGGCTGTTTGGCCACTCGTCAGTGCAAGGTAGTTTATATCATCAACATAAAATCGATGATTTCCGATAATTGAAAATCGAATTCCGTCAGAGTATCATTTCTCGAACTAAGTTGAAGCATACAACAAACAACAGGTTTGTCGTCGCCCCATCTGCCTGTGAACGAGGTAACCAAATGCATATCCGAAATTTGCCCAATTCCTCGTATAAGGAAAGAAAACTTTCACATATAGTCAGTGGGCATACTTGAAGAGAGGGAAAGGGAGTTGAGACTGGCCTGAACGAATTGTTCTTAGATAATTTGATTTATAGCCAGTCTTGAGAAGTCTATGTCTATGAGAAGCAGCCTTTGCAATTCCAGCGACATGATTGTGCCAGGAGATATTCGTGTTCATTTTAACCCTCTACAAACTTATCGAAGCAGAAAGCGGAATTGTCTGTCCTGACCTTATTATATCCGGTTCGGAGACTTTTTTTTTCTTGGAAAATCGATGCCTGGGTTTTTGTGCCATTGAATTGAACATGTAAATTGTCCAGTGAAAATCTTACATGTGTTATAGATTTCTATCAAGTATCGGCAAATTCCATCGGATATAAAAAGAGATCACATCAGTTGCATAAAATCTCACACTCCGTGTTATGTGTCACAAATTAACATTGTGACACATAACATAAAAAAATCAAAGCAATCTAGCTCCTACACGTTAAAATTTAGGTGAGCCGTTTACATGTTGCTTATTGCTATTTCCTTTAATTTTCAGTGAAAACGATGCGGGCGGTCGTCCGACCGATCCTGGAGGCGGCAGTTCGAGTAGTACCGGAGTTGGTGGCCCATTGATGACCAGCGTGGTGAACGGCTCGCGAAACGGACCACCTACGTCATCCGTTACCGATACAACCACATCGTCCTCCAGCTCACTGCTTCAGTCCAACCCCACGTACGGCTCATTCAATCTCGAAAACGAATTCAATTTCGAAATATTCCCCTCTTCCACCTGGGGCGAACTAGATTCCGGCAATTGGCAGGACGCAAGGCCGGACTCCAGACAGAGCGTGTCTCCGGTTTCCACTGCCACACCGCGACCGCCGAGCAACGCCTCCTACACAAACGCCCCCGCGGTGACCAACCCTCCGACCCCCGTGAATCAGTACCCCAGGTTCTCCTTTAGCCCCATCAACGGCCAAGCCAGCTACCAGATGGAAGAGGAGGACAGCAAGGCGCACGTACTCGAAGAGGCTTCGGTGCTGACCGAATCGAAGAGGTTGAGGAATCTGTTGGAGAAGCCGGCCGACAGTAAAGACCGAATCCTGAAGGAGTTGTTGAATCAAGATGAGGATAGGAACGAGACCAGGTGCAGTCCAAGAGGACCGACGCATCGGGATTCCTTGCCGGGGCCGTCTAAGGCGAACACCTCTAGTACTTCGACGGGAAATAATATGTTACGACAGGTAAGCGAATTATTTTCATTTAATGTACGCACTTTTTCAAGATAATCAATATGTGTGGATGCTATTTTCCATGCTATGACCGTAGCCTGCAGATTTTCATACCGGTTTTTTGTCTACAAGTGAAGCAGATATTATCAAATGCAATGGGGAATTGACACAGTTATCTTCGTAGCGCATGTGCATATATGGTTCGGTAACCAGCGTCTCTCCACCTCACCGTAGTTGAGAATCCGAAGACATAAATTTCCTCACATTGTTATTGTTCCAAAAATTGAAACTAGATGATAAGTGGAATAAAAAAAAATGCGCCGCCATTTTGGGTTTTTGTATCATGTAGTTGTATGTTTGCAGTGAAAGCTGCAAAGAGAAGTAATAGCAGAGGAGCCCACGATGCAAAATGGGGATTTACTCGAGCATCATTGAGACATATTAGGTTGCAAAGCTTTGATGATAAGAAGAAAAAAAAGTTATATAATATATACCTTTTCATCGGTGGGGGAAGCGGCTATAAAAAAATACTGTTGCATGGACATACTCGAGCGCGTCAGATATTGATAGCAACAATGTCCTACGTATTTTCAATAATGTTGGTATGTTAATCTGATCGTTTGCATGATGTAGGTGGTTGTACGTACGGGTTAAAAGTGAAAAGAAAAAAAATGTAATCGAGCGCGTCAGATTTTCTAAGAGGGAGTTAATTGCAAAAAAAAAAACTCTCATTCAATAATCTGACGATTTCGATCTGACGCAAACTCGCGGCCATTATTATAATGTGCAAAAAAAATTCGCCATTTTGAAATACTCAAGCGCATCAGATTAAGATTTATATGGTTCATCTTCATATTTTAGACGTGCTGTCTCGTAATCTGACGATTATCTAAAGGGATTCGCTTAATCTGACAAAAACACTATTTTTTAATTTTTTTTTTAATTCATTGTACTTAATTAATTGAAAAGCTCAGGAAATAGCATGCAAATAAATAAGTGTATGTTTTTTAAGTATAATACTTGTATTTATAAGAAAATAAGTTTTAAAAATGCTCAAAAAAATTTAATTTCTTATAATCGATTGATTAATTAATGAAGAAAAGAGAAATGAAACTTTCTATATTTTTTACCACTTTCATTTGTAACTAACGTTACTGCATGTATGTCCTATAAGGACATTTTCAAACTTATATATTGTATAAGTTTGAAAATGTCCTCATAGGACGAAACTGAAGTAACGTTAGTTACAAATAAAATTGGTAAAAAACATAGATAGTTTAATTCATCTTTTCTTCATTATGATTTCCTACCACGTAGTAACGGCTACATCCATCAATTAATTGATTAATTAATCATCATCTTCACCTTCATGGCGTCTTGGCAACAGAATTCAGAGTGGGGACGGAGTGAGAGAGTAATAGATAGAGAAAAAGTGAATAGAGAATAGAGGAATAGAAACTCGGAGAGGGAAATATAGGTATCACACAGCTGCACGCATTAAACTTTATCGACGAATTTTTGTTATTTCGGCTTGCGGAAATCGTCAGATTATATATTTTTCGTTATCCTTGAATTATTTCCTTGAAAATAAAAAAAAATTAGCTACGCTCGAGAATGTCGAAGTGACGTTATTTTTTCACAACTTTGCTGTCCTCTCCTTTCTTTACGTCACTCTCAAATTGTCAGATTACTGGAATATACACTTTTTAGCAGGTAATTAACTCACACTACCTTAATCTGACGCGCTCGAGAATTTCTGGTGATTATTTTTTTTTTACTAATCCGATCCTTTATCCCTCACAGGCGGTCTTATATATGGGGCTCATATTTGGAGGAGGTACTTAACCGGTTACAAGGTATCCCCCTGTATATTAATCTGCCGCGCTTTAGTAAATCCCGAAATCCCCTATTATAAAATACGATTTGTCATTTGACTATCCAATTCAAAGTGAATTGACATGATGTTCCCCAGGAGGCTCGTAGCATTTATTAATATAAATTACCCAGGATACCAGACTAATGGCTATAGTAGTCGTTGACACCGAAAAAAACTCTCTTCAATTTTCTAATATATTTCATAATAAATCATAGCTATTGGTCATATAATTCCAAATTGCAGTACATAAGTAAGGTAGTTATAAACTATCGAAACGAATTGTTATTGGCGTACACACTACACAGTTAATTTACAAAATAGTTTCAAAGTTTACAGGCATGTGAATTATTTTTATCCAAAGTTTTAAGTTGTTTTGAAGTCATACGGTATCCCAATTTTAATTAAACTGCACAGATCAGTTTAAAGTAAGTTTATTTTTCATTTACTTTCCAATAACGTCTAATACAAACAACTTATTTCATTCATTTCGATGTTTAATGTAATTTTTATCTCCAATGACACTATAAATTTATAAATTTAGAAATTGACTATATCCAGTTATTATAATTATCAGTTGTTTATTCAACTCGATTAGTGCACTTGCTTACAAAAGTTGGGAATTTGTTTGTTTGAACACAAGAATTGGTATGAAGTGGCTTAAAAAAATGAGATATCAAAGTACAATTGATAATAGTATTGTAATGAATATGCGTTGAAAAACCGAGTTTATTCTTAAAAAAAGCAGTGAAATGTTTTATAAAGAACATAATTATGATCTTTTTATCTTTTCCAATGACATTTCATTTAATGAAAAAATTCGGGTGGTGTAAAATTCTTATATAAAGTTCACTAAAATCCTTCTCAATTTTACTTCAAAATATTTTGTGATTGGTCGCGCGTCAACGTCTATGATAACCTCTTAATTTAAAGCGACGACCGCTTTATCTCATTATTCTCATTACCAATAGTAGGAAAGTAATACCTACCTCAGTTATGACATAACCTCTACAAGTGCAGGAATTCATTTCTTCAAATCAGGCGGTTTACCCCTGCTTGATGAAGTATCTGTATCTTTGTATCTGTAGAGTAGGGAGAGTGAGTGTAGGCCCACAGAACTAAGGTACATGTGACCCATTGTACATCCTCCTGAGGAGTTGTCCTTCTAGGTCATCGTCCATCCTGTCCTTTCCAGGAAGGTGGATATGTCACTAGGAGACATCTCCTTTATATCCGCAGATGTAGGTCAAGACTCGCCGAACACACACTTTTTTATTGACGATACCTAACTCCGGACATTGGCATAAGACATGCCTGAGAGTTCCTTCTTCCTGTTCACACATCCTGAATAGAGGTGTGTCCACTAGTCCCATTATATGGAGGTGTCTCCTTAGTTGACAGTGACCAGTCAGAAATCCTACTCTTAAGCGTAGGTTTTTCCTGGTCATCGCCAAATAATTCTTCAGCACCAGCTTCCCAGGGTGATCCTGACAAGATTACATCCTTTGATTCCATCCCATCTCTTTAGGGATTGAATGTGGGTGTGACGTTTGGCTAGTTCCGCAATTGTCGAAGTCATTAGGCCGTAGGTGCCACTGGGTCCTGAAATTCTTAGTCCAGTCGCTTCCTTGGCTAACGAGTCGGCAATGCAATCACCTTTACTCCTGTCGTGCCCTTTAACCCACCTCAGGATAATGTTATTATCTACCGAGGCTTTGACTGAGTCTTGGTGGCACTCTAGTACTAGTCCTGATGTAACACGTTGTCTGTTCAAGGCTAATAGACCTGCACTGATATCAGTGCAGATTGTTATGTTTTTGCCAGAAATTCCTCTCCTGGTTATTTCTTTTGTGGCGATTGAGGTACCAGCCAGTTCTGTTTGAACCACGCTGGTATTTTTTTCCATTCTCCACTTAATCCTTAGGCTTAGTGATCTGGAGTACTCTTCACATCCTGAGCCTTCTTTGGTTTTTGAGCCGTCTGTATATATGCGTATTGCATTTGTAGCATCTGTGTTCTGTTTTATTTGTGTTTTGTAGGATTTATCAAACACAAACCTAGTTTCAATTGCAACTGGTTGCCTGCAGCAGAGGATGCGCTTGATGGAGTATATTTTCTGATCAATTAGTTTTTTCATCACTAAAATATAACCATATGATGATTATTATTTTCGGAAATGTTTGAAAATATTCCGATCTCACAGACAAACAGTTATGATATCAATTCAGTAAGGCATATGAATTATAATAGTAAATTGAATCTAAGTAATTGTGAATCCTCAAAGTAACTCTTAGCCAAAAATGTGGTGGTGATGTGAATGGATGGTTTGCATCGCTCTGGTCGGCCATCGACATCCCCAACTGAACTTAACAGCACGAAAGTAAAGGAAATGGTGACTGAAAATCGTCGTTCAGGTCTGAGAAAGATAACCGCTGAAATTTCGACATCTCACGAATCAGGTCATATCATTTTTCATGATTTTTTAGGTATGAAACGCGTTGTCGCGCGACTAGTGCCAAAATACCTGAATTTTCTGTTAAAACTCATTGGAGTTGAAGTCTGTGATAAGGTATGGGTTCACGAATTTGATTTTCAAACCAGTCAACAAGCTTCGGAGTTAGTTAAGTTGGGTCTAAAGTGAGTGGGTCTATTCGACACCCCACCGCAACCTGCAAGGGTTTATTGTGGCACACATATTCACATTCGACCAAATAAACCCATCTTCTTATCGAAGCCGATTAGTTTGTATGGTGAATGGTCTTTCAGGTCATATGGTAAGAGTACGGCTCTGCCGAACTCTAAAAATCTGATTCGGTCCCCAGCGGGGCAGGGACAAAGTATATGTTCTGCTGTTTCTTCATTTTCCAAACAGAGGCGACACACACTGTCTTCCGACACTCCAAGTCTATGCATATGATGATTCAAATTATAGTGACCTGTTAGAAGGCCTGTTAGACATCGTAGTTCATCCCTACTGTAGTCCAACAGCGTGTTGGTGTTCAATCTTTGTTTAGCAAAGCCTGAAGTGATGCCAATAACAGGTTCTGGTCCGATGAAGCTGCTTGCAGCGTCCTCTTTTGCAAAAGCTTCGGAGTGGTGCCTTTCAACTGAGCTGAAACCGAAAAAAACTCGTTGAAGT